AATTGTTAATATTAAAAGTTCCCTTTTTAGTAGGTCAATGTCACATATTCAGGTTCTTGAAGATATTTTCAATAATTTGAAGCTAGTGAAAGAAATAAACTAGACATCGTTGTCTAAACGTTGTGTGGATTTTGTAAATTAACTAAAAAGCATACTAAACTAAAAATTTAGAACTAATTTCAGTTTTCATTTTTTTTTTAATTCACATAACAGACACGATTTTGTGTCACCGTTTTTATGGTTTTAAATAAATAATTTATAAATATTTCGGGCATATAAAAAATACATTGAATTATCCTCTAGTTTTTCTCCAAAATTATTAAAATTATTTGAACGAGATGTTTCAATAGTTTGTTGCATTACTATGTTATTGATCATTTAGTATTTTCAATTGCATAAATAAAACATTTAATTCATTTCATAATCAATTTAAATTTATTTTGATTTGATTATTTTTCATGATTTGTGGACAATAAATTATTTTTATTTATTAGTTTACTTCCATTGTATTCAGCATAATAAAATTATATTTTCTATTTTACAAATTTAATAAGAAAGATTAATAAGATAGGATATGTTGAAATATTTTTCATCTCTCATTATTGTCTTCCTTTCGTATCAGCGATTTTTAGCTTCCAGTCAGTATACGTCAAGTGGGACGAATAAATCATGAATCTACATAATTCCATTGGCGGCGGGTCTCGAACTGCCATCGTTTCTGAAAAGGAATATTAATGAAATCGAATGGAGAAATTATTTGCGCTGTGTTTGGCGTGCAGTGCTAACACACAAAACCTTATACATAAATGCGGACTTTTCGTCGAGTGTTTAAAGCTCACGATGTTTTGTCACGAACTAATCACGAAAGCCATCAAGGGAATAATTCAATAACAATGTAAAGTATAATACGACAATGGCTAAATATCTTAGGAGATTAAGTGCCCCTCCCGATGGGACGGATGGCTTGATCCTGTCAGAAATTAATTATATAAATTCTTAAGATATTCCCCGGCTGTTCGTTTGTGTTTAATAACAACATCATAATAACCCATTATCGGAGCCGAAATTTATTATTGATTAAACACCAGAGCTCGTCCGCTCGAGAATACGCAGAAATGAGACAAGGAAAAAAAAATAGGGGACGCGCGGCTAATCAATCAATCGATCCAATTATATTATAAATACATTCAACGCTTCGAATTAATTCACAAAAGTCGTCCACTTCATTCAAATTCAATTGAATATTTATAAATTTGACATTTAAAATTCAGAACCCATTCAGATCAACAAGAAATTTTAGCAAATAAAAAAAACTAGAGTACTGCGTTATTAAAAATAAATTAAATTTGAATGGATTTTAATCGTAATTGACTGTGAATATTTAAAGCAAATATAAAATTAATAAACCATACATTTTTATTCATTTTTTTTATCATCCTATTTATTCGCTACTGACTGTTCTATAATAAAAACATTCTGGCGATTGATATGGTGTTAATTGGACATCGCCCATTGGCGATTATCCTTCACTTATTAGTTATTTGTTAAATCTCAATGGTAGATCCAGTGGCTTTTGTCGCTTCAGACGTTGTGTTGTTAAGCTATTGTCCAGAAGATTGATAGCTAGTACGTTTGGATGTCTGTCTAGTTATTTTGGTATCGGCTACTGTTTTTCATAATTGTTTCCTCTACTGTTTCCATTTGAAGGTCCTCATAAATTCCCTGTTTGTAATATACCATGGAGCACCAATGATCTTTCTTAGGCTTTTTGACTGGAATCTTGGTTTGGTCATAATATTAGATCTGCTGGTGACTCCCCATAGCTTTATTCCGTATGTCCAAACATGTTTTAAAATTACTTTATAGATCAGCAACTTGTTTTCTTTCGAAATTGCGAGTCTTCCCGTAATAGCCAGTAAGTTTCCTGAACTTAATTTCGAGTTGTTCTCTTTTTGCTTCTGATCCAAGTGATCAATCTTCTATCTAGATGCATACCCAGATATTTATCTTTGAATATTTACATTATTTATGAAAGGTTAAATGGTTTAAATAATAGTAATGGTTTTAGAACGTTGGGTTGTTGCATTATTGTCCTGAAGATTGATTGCCTGATTGTTTAAATGGTCATCGAGTGTACACAAGTTTCCACAACTAAATAACTTTATCCAGTGTTAAAAGTTAGAGATCACTGTGAAGTTGTCTTTTCGTTATTGACTCTTACGATTCACCAAACACAATTGGAATCATTATTATTTATATATATATATTAAAAAATATTTTTTTAATATAATAAATTCATTGTTAGAAAATATGTTTGTTTTTAACTAATTAAAATATAATTAAATAAAGTTATTACAAATGTATTAATAATAATTATATTGCAAAAAATTGCCAAAATATAAACTTAAGATAATAACAAAAAATTAACTAAATTAAACTGCTGCAAAGTACTATTGACCTCAGGTTTAAATTCAATTCAATTAATCTAACCAAATAGAAATTTTATATTTTTAACAATAAATTATTCATTAAATACTCTGTGCATGTTCATTTCCCATTACAGTGATACTCATATGATTTGCAAGCTGTGAACATGGTTCATATGAAGTAAAAGCGTGTTCAAAATGCTGATTAACTCTTATCAATAATCTAGTATAACTGACTAGATATTTTATTATTGCATGAAATAGGAAAATTTCAAAAAGCATCTGGTTAATAATTTATGGATAACCATTTAAAATCACATTAAATTATTAATGCGATTTTTGCTTTAAAAATATATAAATAATCTGGGCGGAATAGCTTACGATCAATAGCTAGTTGTAATTATTCATGTGTCTTTTAAGGGTTGTTATATATGTTGTTGTCATTATTAAATCATTTTGAAATTTGTTCTGCAATCCCTTGCATCACAAACATGTCTAATATACATAAGCAACTAATGAAAAATACATATATTAAATCTATTGACCATTTCATTAACTGTAACAACTAAATATACTGAACCTAATGGAATAGTAATTATTGTTATGTTAATCAAAATTATGTAGTTAAATAATATATTTTAATATTATGAATAATTAATGTAATGTATATACTGTATATAGTATATTTCGAAGCAAGTTTGTTCGAGGAAATACGAATATCAGTTTGCCAATTAAATGTTCTTGAAAGCAAATAAAATGTGAATGATTTATATATTTAGGATAACACACATTAAGAGGCAACGTCGGTTGACAACCTACTTTTCGCTGAATTTAATTACAGATGTAGATAAAGCGCCTAATTAAGGCAATAAATTGTTTTTAATTAATGCAGACAGTATTGTGCTCTGGCGAAACCGTATATCCAACAAATTGAAGTTACTTATTTTGGGCCCGGCATGCCGGATCTCCTACTCTTTACCCAACTTGAATGTCTCGTGCTTTTATAATTCAATATATAATTAATGAATATGCATGTGTTAAGTATTAAAGCCATTTATGATATAAGTTGGTCTAACAAATGTGTGTGTATGAGTGTGAGAGAATGCAGATCCGACCTACGCGAAATTTCATACAGTTTACGAAGAAAATGCACAATGCATGCTAATTAAACGCTTGGCCCGAAAACAACGGCAAACTTTGCAAAATTTCAACTTGCGGAATTACCAACAGCAATTTCATTACGACAATCATTAGTCGATGTTTCCGATAGCCTAAACCACTACCACCATCACCGTCATCATATATGCGCATATTTGAATTCGTTCAAAAGGAAATCGATTCAATTACATGCTCGGCGGTAATTTTTTTTTTGCCATCCCTTCGCGAAGAGGACTTTTTGATCTACGCCAAATGGGGATCCCTTGATGCCCGAGACGAGTGTTTTCCTTTTAGGTTCTCCAGCAATTTTATTTAATGGCTTAAGCCCGTGAATAATTGCCTGTTTCTTGTGTTAATTTGAATCGAGCGGGAAGCTGTATGTTTTTTTAACCGTTGTTGTCGTCCCGTAATAGTTTTATCCTTTTTCTCTCGCGCAAGCGTTGGAGCTGAAAGGGAGGAGGACCCATTATTCTGTCGTTCCCATGCATTATGTATGTTGCATGAAAGATCCGCTTTCGGGATCTTTACAAAAGGATATTTGAATGCATTTTCCTTTAATATTTAAAATCATGTTAATATGGACACACTTTCGCCACACGATGATTACTAATACAAGCGGCTCGTATAAATCATCCCTCAAAACGTCTGACATTATCATTTGAAAAGGTACAAAAAGGACCTATTTTTCATCAAAAGAAATCGCTAAAGCATACAGAATTTGGATGGCAATTACTTTCCAAACGACAATCTAAGTGAATGAGTATGAATATTACTGTTAGAATTACGATGAACATTGGTCCAATATAATGAGTAGTCGGTGTATGAATAATTCCATAAGAGGAGATCCCACCGCGACAGTATTCAGAAACATGTCCAGTCGTTTTAAATAAATTTCCTCTAACAGCAGCAATCCGGACGTCTGTTATGTAAATACTCATCCGGTCAACCATCATCCAGAAATCCAACGTGGCGCAAGCAGTACTCCCTGTCTAGTATATAGTCTATATAGTATATTTCGAAGCAAGTTTGCTCGAGGTTTCGTAATATATTTCAAAGGGGAGTACGCTTGCATGAGAAAGGAGAGAGCGCACGAGTTACATACAGGTGGATAGTTGTAACTAACCGTCTCGTAAAGAACTTGCCCGCGCTAGTGTATATACACATATCCAGAGATGTACGTGTGGGTGTGTCCGTACTGTATCTGAATTTTCTCGTTATTCCTTGCAGATCCGCCAGAAATCTCCGTCGAGAGACCAGTGGTGCACTCAGGAGAGGGATTCGAGGCTCAGCTCGTCTGCATCGTACATGGGGAAAGTCAACCGGAGGTAATGTTTTCTATTATTAAACAGACCGTACACACCATACACCATATTGTATCAATTTTATACTAAACCCAAGTAATATTTTGTAAAAGCAAATATATATAAATTGACTACATTTTGTTAAATTTCTCTAAAATTTTAAGAATAACTATTTTTAATGAAATTATTTATTTGTTTCCATTGTTTTATTTCAATTATTAATCTATACGTGTTTTAATTTACATTAATATTGATCGCAAATCAAAATCAAGAAATAATGAAAATAGTGGAAATAAAATGATGCCTAATACATAATTTTCTCCACACGATTAGAAAATAAACAATATTTATTGTAAGGGGTTTATTTATATTTTATAAAGTTAAGTAATATAAGCATTTAAAGATATAAGTATGATATTAAAAGTTCAATCAAACTAAGATTTGGAAAGCACTTTCTTAATGGTAAACTATAAATACTTCTAATTACAAAATCATAAAGTTTAAATTCAGTCATGAGCGAGGGATCAATAAACATTTATTGTTTAAGTATTTGCTTCGGAGACGACGCCGGCGGCATTTAAGAAAAATGCCCGTGCGCCTTTCCGCCTGCAATGAATGATAGCCTAGGTTGTTATTGCCGAGTAAATGCAAGTAATAAATCTAAACGAATTTAGCTCTCCAGAATTGTTAGTGATTCATTAAGTTGGATTCAGCGAGCATACGACATGGCGCGTCGGATAAATAAGCGGGACAAGTGCTAATTTAAATCTAGCTCGGATGGCGGAGATCAACAAATGAAAGATGTACAAGAATAAGCAGAGGGCGAGCAAAAAATAGAAGGTGTCGTTGGACAGGGATGGGGTGTTGGGAATGTTGTGACTCTGGAATAAGCTGTAATAAGGAGGGGATGTCAAGAAGAAGCGGGCTAAAAAATAATAGAGTAAATTATAAAGCTGCAGGGGGTGCGAAATAATGACTATAAAAGTGCGAGTCTGTATGGGGTATAAGTGCGGTAATAAAAGGGCTGCGCGATGGTTCGTGTCTCATCCTTCCCCTCGTTTAACGATAACTACGTGACACCAGAGAAACAATTATAAAAATGAAGAAGAAAACTCATTTTCCCATCAACTGAGGGACCTTGTACTCTCTCACACTCTCTCTCTCTCAACTTTTTCATTTCGAAATAATAGGACTGTTAGTATCCAGATAATCACAATATATTGCAGAACTCGAATATAATATAATTGCTGGATATAAAGGTGAAATGCGATTACAAATATCCACTGATTTGTTGAACTAAAATACATTATTACGTTCAAAATATAATTTATCTGAATAACTATGAAAGACAAATAAGTGTCAGCTACATTATGGTTGAATTATTAATTCCAAATGTAAATATGGGCGACTAATAGCCGAATGGTTAAGTCGCCCTACCACGATCGAACCAGCGACGGTTCGAATCCTGGTCAAACTAGGCCCTTTATGAGCCCCTTCGGTGCTTACAGCAATAGGGCCATCGTTCATCACATATGTACAGTGAAATGAATGAGGTTCAGCATATGGACCTTCAGCCAAGTCTATGGACAATGACTGTGTTAAGGATAGCAGCAGATTCACAGTGAAAAGAAATAGTGGAATGGGAGAGCATCAATATACTACTGAAGTTAACCTACAAAACAACAGCCAACCCACAAATTAAAATTTAAATAAAAATCATCATAGTGGTAACTATCCACCGGGAAAGATTACCTACCTAATATCAACTGCGATCTTAAATTTACTCAATGTTCATATTGATGAACAGATTGTGAATTAAATTAGAAGACATACAAAAAATGTAAATATGTTTTCAAAATCTATATTTTTTCTATTTAATTGTAATAATAATTATCATTATATTTACTTTTATTGTTTTAAAAAAAAAATATAGTACATATCATTTATATTGACGACAAGAACTCATTGACATCTTGCAACGGAGATTATTTAAAAGAATGCACAAAATAAAATGTGGTAATATAAAGCATTGTTTTTTTAACATGTTTTCAGGAAAAATGTAATTTTAAATTATATATTAGCAAAATGTCTTCGGATTTGTCATAATTGTGACCAATAAAGATATTTAACCCTTTCAGTCCAGAATTGATTTTTTACTTTAAACAAATACAAATCTCTATATACACTATACGTTTATTAATATAAATAACAACAATTTTAAAAAATCCTACATGATATGGTTACTTAGCCAGTAACCAGTAGAAACTCATTAAACAGTACGGTACAACGGAAACGTGCGGGAGTATAAAATAAATGTATAATGTATTGTTAACACTGGTAACCACTAGTCCTCAAAAGGTTAATAATAATAAATTGTTATTTAACAAATAAGCATTTTTAGTTTTCATCACTGTAAAATTGATTGTTTAAGCATATTTTCAGATCAAAAATAAATATAATATATGAATTAACTTAAAATCAATAAACAAATAATCAATAATTGCGAAATAATATAATAAATGTTTAAATTAATATATTTTCAAGGTTTGATTCATTTTGATTTTATTAACAGGATCAAAATTTTAATCATATTTTATATTAATGTAACTAATATAATAGATAAAACAGTTGTAATTAATTTTAATCCTATCATTGAAATTTGTATTTATTGTTTTTCAAGTTTACTTCAATTAATAATCGAGTTACAATAATGTGAATTTTCGGTATTAATCGATATATATTGCTACTATTTACATATATATGTAGTTTCGAATTAACTGGTAATTAGTCGGTTTCGACCGTGGCAAAACAAGTGACCATAAAAGCACTTCCGAATGAACCAAATGGACAGATCGTAACCTCGTTAGATATAAATGTGTGTGATTCTCTCGCCCTCGCCATTCCTCCCTACTGTCTACTATTATTATGCCACGCATATAAACTCTATTTCCCCTTTCATTTCTTATAGTCCGTATCCATAAATAAGGGTGGTTTATTTCCCCATTCCATCGTTGACATTGTTTATCATCGCTCATAAATGGGGCCTACAATTCGAAGATTTGTCAAATTCCTCGAACAAAAGAAATAGCGGAGCTCTATTTGCCAGAGGGCGAATCCGTTTTCATTATGTGTATATGACCTGAAAAATTGAAGATGTGAGAACTGCGCTCGCAGTATTTTTTTCTTGTTATTAATGCGCCTGGCGCATCGTTTTCTTAAAAATAACGACGCATTTCACCGGCAAGCGTATATAAAATGCCGATGTAAGTACGAGTGTATGTATGTTTGTGAATCGTCTATGCATAGCGGGGATGTGCAGTGTTGAAATATGTTTGCCATATAAAACGACATTTCCTGACTACTTCCTCTGAACATTTTCATATTTACATTATTGCAATTTTATTTGCACCGCTAAAAAAATATACTGCAGAGTGAACAAATTACTTCCATTTATTTTTGTAACGAGAATTGTTTGTATTATGAATTATATAACATCAGATAATTTAATTATGTTATTATATACATTATGTAGCTTTACTATATAGTTTTGAATATTCAAATATATATATAATAATTTAATAGTTATTTATATATTAATTACATCATTAATATGGTATTATAATTTAAAGCTGATGTCGTAAATATCAACTATCAATAATAGCACGTTGTAATGATTTTAAATTTATTGATTACTAATTATCTGATTCTGTTTATATGTATTTATTTTGTGACTGTTACTATTAGGATCAGTTTGATTTCAAAATTGTAAAAAAATAGTACAAATACATATTATTTTATATAAAAATGATCGGTTTTCCTCTTTAGACAGTCAAGTCTCTTTTTGTGTGGTTTATTTTTGTAGTTAGTGTCATGATTAGTACGGTTTCAAACAGTGCGGGATATTGGCGGAATCGATTAGCTGCATTATGGCAGGTATTTCTGTAACCTAAAATGCGCATAATTTGTACTTATTGTGGCTCATTATGTTCAGAATTTCATGTACTTGTCAATATAGTAAAGGATCAGATTATTAAAAATATATAAAAGTGTAAGCTGTAGGTCTTTCCTCCCACATAAAAAAAAATGTGATATTACAAGTATTTTAATCTAATGAAAAGAAGAAAAAGCGTAATACGTAAGACTTACAAATTGTACAGGTTTCAGTTAAATCTCTCAATGGAAGATGTTATTATCCTTCTTCCTTTTTTTTTCCAGTAGCATTCGCACAATCAAATATTGAATGCATCGGTATCTCTTATACACAATAGAGCACTCAGAGAGGCAGAATGGTTTGAAACACGCGTTCATGGGGATGGAGCGGCGGCGATGGCGGGCGCGTCTTGCTTAAGTGGATATATTCGTACATATTCAATAAGATTCAGCCTGTCACTCTCAGTGGAATTACGTTTATTCGTAATTCCATATACCAGCCCTCGAGAGTGAACCCGCTTCAATTTTACCGCGCATTCAGAATAAAATTGCACTCAAATGCCTACTCATCATACGCTACAAAAATATTTCACCTTTACCGAATACGCCAGAAAGTTTCCAAGGTGTTTCTAATATAATCTGTAAAGAAAACATCAAACTGTTGCAAACAATTTTTCCAGGAATTCTATATTATATTCATTTGTACATTTTACGTAATGACAAAATAAAAATGTATTTCATAAACACAAACACATATGCAATGGAAACAATTTACTAGATATTTTAGTTTAACAAATTACCCAAATTGTGCGATTATGAAAATTATCATATGAAAGTTGGAATTGTGACATAAAATTCTATTGTATTTGTAGACATTAAAAAATGTCATATGATTGCTGGAATTCCAATGAATAAAATGTGTATACTATAATATTATTTGCAGCAAGATTTTGTATAATATTATATATTTTTTATAACTTTATTATATATTATTAAACGTAGCATTTTTTCTTTAACATTAAAAAAATCAAAGAGAAGTTTGAACGTGCTTTTATACAAAGTAATTTTCACAACTTCTCTGTTTCTTTAAAATA